ACTATTGTATAGTTAACGGATTTACGCCAAGGAGAAGCAGACTCACTCTCTCCATGCGTGTATGTTCAAACACATAAACAGAGTGAATTTGATGCTAGTTAACGCTAAATCTATCTTTCACTGCTCCACTCATGTAAAACAGCTTTACAATAAGCACAACATACTTTACTACTATTCTGAGGCATACTTTATTCTCACTGTGGGCTAATATCTTCAATGTAGGTAAGAATTGGGTCCTGCACTTCTGAAACAAGAGGTAAACAGTAATGAAGATAAGAAAAACTTCTGAAGCAGTTAGTATGGCTAAGAAAGATATGAGAGTTCGGGAATGTTCTGCTGTACACCTAGCATTGTCAAGTCAGTTTTGTATGACCAGTTAGTCCATCATACTGCCTACAATTTTAGCAACTAAGCCAGAATGTGATTTGTGTTTCAACTTAGATAGATATTAGGATTTCCTTAAAGTTCAATTTTGAGAAAAATACACAGGAGAAAATCCAATAAAACAGTCCACTTATTTCAAGCCCAGAAAAAGCTCCTCTGAGAACCCCAGGAATGATATCACTGCATTGTTTACAATGAGCAATGTTCATCATAAAAAGGGTTTCTTTTTCATTTCTTTTTCATTAGGAACGTAGTCCTGTGTTATGTTTTGTCACTGCAATTCTCCTGATGTTTCCAGCTACAACATCTTCAAAGGGCCAAACACAACACAGATGTTTCGGTTTGGGGTGAGAGCACAGGGAAATGTTCTCTTTGGCAGGGAATTTTCATGATCAAACAGGAGACTGATTGGCTTCTTTATTGGAGTTTAGAAGCAAAACTCCACTGGCCTGTCATTCCCATTTAGAATACACATAGAGCAGCCTTCCTGAGGACACCGTAGTACAGTATACTACAGTCAAAACCCAGGCTTTCAGGCCTTAAGTATCTAGCGCAGAAAAATCTAGGCTCCAAATTGATTGTGGCCAAAAAGTATTAGGTCTTGGTTTATTCTTGTGTGTTGTTTATAAAGCCAAGCATACACGAGAGCTCAAGAAAAAAATGCCCCAAATAATCTAGTAGCTCATTAGTAATATTTATCCTTTTTTGGTAAAACTTACCATTTGGAGCCTAACTTGAACCCTCGTGAAATGAAAAGATATGGCCTCAGGTGTTGAGTTTTGAAATGAAATATTCATTGACTAAGGCGTGCCCAAATAAAAGCTGATCAGAATTATTACTTGGTACCTTGTAGATGTCATGTTATAGTGTCCTATTTTAGCCTGGATATCTATTAAAATTAAAATATAGTATAAATGTACTTATAGTGTGAATATATATAGTATAAATAATATGTATAAATATAAATAGAATCATAGAATCATATAGTTTGGAAAAGACCCTTAAGATCATTGAGTCCAACCATAAACCTAACACTGCCAAGTCCACCACTGAACCATGTTCCTAAGCGTCACATCTGCATGTATTTTGAATACCTCCAGGGATGGTGACTCAGCCACTTCCCTGGGCAGCCTGTTCCAATGCTAGATAACCCTTTCAGTGAAGAAATTTTTCCTAATATCCAATCTAAACCTCCCTGGTGCAAGTTGAGGCCTCACCCTATCCCCTGTTACTTGGGAGAAGAGACCAACACTCACCTGACTACAACTCCTTTCAGGTAGCTGTAAAGAGCAATAACGTCTCCCCTCAGCCTCCTTTTCTCCAGACTAAACAGCCCCAGTTCCCTCAGCTGCTCCTCATAAGACTTGTGCTCTAGAAACTTCAATAGCTTCATTGCCCTTCTTTGGACACGCTCCAGTACCTCAATGTTGTTCTTGTAGCGAGGAGCCCAAAACTGAACACAGTACTCAAGGTACAAGGAACATATATCATAAATACATAACCACAGAATTTTGGAGAGCACCTATTGAGATAACCTAGTCCAAACTCCTTCTCAGGAATAGCACAAAACTAAACACATAAATACTAATGGAATTACAGTGTCTAAAGAAAAGGCCATGCTATATAAAGAACAGCACATTTTAAAGTTTCTTGTCTTTGGGCTACAGCTGAATGGAGCCTGGATTCATGATTGGGAGCTAATGGTTGCCACCCACGTTAAACTCTCCCCCGTAAAATTTACATAATATTAAAAGCCAGTGGAGATCTATGATATAAGTGTATATAACTGATGACGGTATCACCTCTGATATGATCTCATTCACATCCCCGTCCAGCTCATTTTGTAGCTGCAGTGTCATGCAGACGTGTGTGTTCATTCAAAGCACCTTCCTTCCATCTGATTGTAACCTTTGGGTGCTACAAAGATTTTTTTCCTTCCTAGGTGCTGATATAAATACTCAAGCCAGTGACAATGCCTCTGCTCTTTATGAAGCCTGTAAAAATGGACACATACCTATTGTGGAGTTTCTTTTGTCCCAAGGAGCAGATGCTAACAAAGCCAATAAGGATGGCCTGTTACCTCTTCATATAGCAGCCAAAAAAGGGATTTGCGAGTAAGTTTTAGTTCATTTCATAGTTTCATCTTTTAGACCAGAATCCAAAGTCCTTATGAAAAGGGGAATGTAATGTCCCAGATCTGATTCTGAGCATTGCGAGCAAGTGAGCTGCCAGTTGAGAACTGGGCTTTCCACTTGCAGAGCTCAGGTTGGAAACTATAAACTGAAGAGTTTGTTTGTGGGTTGGGATGGGATGGGTCGGGGTGAGCAGGAAT